GTAAATAAGGCACAGTCCCTGTCCTTATGAAGTTTGTAGTCTGATGGACGAGAGATCATTAATAATCCATATGTCCCTAAAATGAGTGCATATTCTGCTTTTGGGTTCTGTAAAGTCACGAGGTCAAGGTGGTTGATAGTGTTGTTCACATTTTCTAAATCCTTACTGATTTTCTGTCTACTTGTTCTCTCAGTTATTGAGAGAAGGGTATTGAACTTTCCAACTATAATTGTGGATTCACCTCATTCTCCTTGCAGTTCTATCAGTTTTTGCTCTATATGTTTTAAAGCCCTTTATTAAGTATATAAACTTTTAGTATTGTTATGTCCTCTCGATTAACTGACCGCTTTATCATTATAAAATGATCCTCTATTTCTGGCAGAATTCCTTGCTCAGAAGTCTACTTTGTCGGATATTAATGTAGCCACTCTGGATTTCTTTTGATTAGTGTTATCATAATATATCTTGTCATCTTTTTAAATCAAAACTCTTGCTTTCAAGAGAATCAAAATAATTCAGCAGAATAAATCTAATCATTTCTCACCTTGAGTATATCATATTTTTTTTGTTTGATTCAGACCTGCCAGCTTTTTATAAATGCAGCAGTTGACTCCCCTGCAATTGATTACCACATCTCTTTAGCCCAGAGTGCTTTGCAAATCTGTCTGACACATTCTGAGCTACAGAACGAAATTTGCTGTCAGCTCATTAAACAGACAAGACGGAGACAGCCACAGAATCAACCAGGACCATTGCAGGTATGTATTGATACATACACATGCAATTTAAAATGATCTTGTTTTCCTGATTGTAAGAATGATACAGAGTCAATATAGACATTTGGGAGATATGAAAAATGTGGAAGGAAAAATAGTTATTAATATTTGCCTGTATATCCTTTTAATTTATTTATATATGTGTTTCTTTATAAATGTATAGGTATGTATATTTATGCACACTCACAGTTTTTCACATTACTACTAGAGTTACAGGGTACATACTACCTTTTTAAAAGTGCAGAACATAATTATTTACCTTACATCCATCAACATTTTCTAAAACGTCAATGGTTGCATTAACATCAATTACTATACATTTAGGTTTTTCCAGTTATTTTTTTTTAAATAATACCATTACAGTAGAAATTTTTGAACCTAAATCTTGTATACAAGTCCAGTGAATTTCTTTGAGTCTGTTTCTAGAATTTCCCTTTGCCTTCAACAATATTCAGTGTAATTCTTTTAAATTCTTCCCAGGTAAAAAGTGGTATTTCATTACTGAATTAGGGTGCATTACTTTAGTTATTAGTAGTGCAGCTGAGTATATTTTTCAGATGGTTTTCAATCACTTACGTTTACTCTTCAATGAGTGCCTGTTTTAATCTTTGCTTATTGACTCTCCATTAACCACAGGATGAAACAGGAACTCCTTCCTCAGCATACAGGACTTTCAGGGTGGATCCAAGTTTTATGGGACCTGAAGCTTATACAGTTTAAGCTAACACAATTAATATTTTATATTCTTTAAGAAAAAGAGTACAAAATATATTACTTTCACACATTTTAAAAGAGCACAGTGAACACAGCTGATAGGGCCTTTCCCAGGGTCTTTCAGAGGGCCTGTGCATGAGAGGGATTCCTCAGCTTTGGCTTCATTTGCACCAAGGACCCTTCATCAACTAGCTGGCTCCAGTGGCGTCTTCTTTCTCCATTTCATTTTATGCATCCTGTCTCCGGCATACAGTGAAAGAATAGACGCTCCCCATTCATCACACACACGTGCCTTTGCATTATCCTCCACCGTGCACTTGGCATTATTTATGTTACCTGGATCCTCCTTCTTTCTTCCCATCTGTAGACTTCACAGTCCAGCCCAAGTGACATCTCTCCTGTGAATTCTTCCTTGACTCCCACTGTTAGTCATTCCCTCTATTGGTTATATGTTTAAAAAATTATGGCATGGTATTAAATACAACACCAGGTTGTATTATAAATCAGTGTTTAAATGTATAATGTCTTCTAGACTGTAGGTAACTCAAGAGCAGAAACAGTGCCTTTTCCCCCTCCTCCTATTTTACATAACATTTAAAACATTATTGAAGTTATACTTGCTTAATGGGAAAAATTAAAATAGAAACGAGAATACAGAACAGAGCAAAGGAAAAATAAAAATCACATATAATCCTATTACCCAAAAAGAATCTCTGTTAATATTATTATACTGGCACCTATTGAAGTATGTATACAGGCATACCTCATTTTATTGTGCTTCACTTTATTATGCTTCCTAGATACTGCATTTTTATAAGTTGAAGGTTTTTGGTAACCCTGTGTTGAGCAAGTCTAAGGTGCCACTTTTCTATAACATTTGCTCACTTCATGCTTTTGTGCCACATTTTGGTAATTCTCACAATATCTCAAACTTTTCATTATATTATATTGCTTATGGTGATCTGTGATCAGTGATTGTGACTGACGGAAAGCTCAGATAATGATTACGATTTTTTAGCAAAAAAGCATTTTTTAACGAAGGTACATGCATTTTTTTTGACATAGTGATATAGCACACTTAATAAACTACAGTACAGTGTAGACATAATTTCTGTGCCCTGGGGAACCAAAAACTTCATTTGATCCTGTTTATTGCAATATTCACTCTTTTGCAGCGGTCTGGACCCAAACCAACAATCTCTCTGAGGTATGCCTGTATATGTATCTAGCTTGGGTAGATTGGTGTTCTTTGGGGGTATATGATTTTTTTTTTTACTCTTTTCCAATCTGTCCTTCTTCAAAGCCATTACTTATATTTCAGTGAGTGAGTAAATACATAAATGAACAAGAAAGAAACAATGTCCCTAATCTTTGAGTGTGATGTCAAAAAGTTCTACCATACCTACATGTCCTTTGCTACCTCAGTTGTAGATGACAATATACACAACTAGATGAATTATGGATCTGACCCAATGTGAAGCTTTTATGTTTTTATGTATTATAAATGCTCTAAGCAGATAATGTATATTGTGGAAGAAGCAAAAACATTTTGGGGTCAAGAAGGACCGTCATCACCCCTTTACCCTCTCAATCTCTGCCGGTCGCACTGGTTCTGACTTGGATCTCTGCCTGCCATGTGGTGTCTAACCTGTGCTGCTTCTCTTTGCCCAGGGCTGGCAGCTCCTGGCTCTCTGTGTTGGGCTCTTCCTTCCCCATCATCCTTTCCTGTGGCTCCTCAGGCTCCACCTAAAGAGGAATGCAGATTCCAGGTGTGCAGAAAACTAGGCAGCCGAACTGTTTATGTGGCCTCTGAAAGTCTACAGTAAATCATAAGTATTTAGTAACCTGCCAGGTACATTTGCAGAAGAATGTGTGGAAGAAATGTTGGTTATAGGAAGCCTTTGGTTATCATTTACGTGGAGCTTGGAAAATTTTTCCTTTGTTATGTTAAATTTCTTATGGAAGATTGCAGTAAAAGCTTGAAAAATTGACAAAGAATGTTTTTAAGTGAAAGTGTATGTACATTTCAAGTGTGAATGACAGCATTAGTGGGTGTTCATTCAATGAAAACAACTGTTTTGTTTCCTTAGTTTTTCCTATTACTATTTTTCTCCACATTGAATTCTTTATGTGGAAAACTTCTTTGATGGTCTTCCCTCTTTTCATACTTGTGTGCATTTAAATTACTTCAGAATTTGTACTCCCTTGAAAAAGACATTTAAAGTCCAACTGCCAGAATGACTTTCTTACAGTGGGACCCAGGGCACCCAGCCAAGAATTATGAGGGATGATTTTGTCCAAGACGCTCATGTTAGGTTGTTTAAATAGACTGGGACTAAAACAAATAAACAAACATAAAGAAAAAACTATATGGAAGCAGTAAGAAAATATTCTTCAGTTTGTAATACATACTGGGGACTCCGTGGTCAAGGTCATGTGATTTAAGTTGCAGTCACTGAGGAGACCCAGACAAAGGTCACATTTAAAGTCTGCCTAGAAGTATCTGAATGCAAATATATTTAGAGATGTTATCAATTCACTTTTATAAACAATAAAAATCATATATAACAAATGAGGGTAGATAAGATCCTTATCAACTTGTACATTTATTTACTCCAGTAGTTTTGTTTATGCCTAAAGCATTTTTAAAGAAGTACATGTTTTATAAGGTAAAGAAGGAAAATATGTTTTGATTTTGGTTGAAGATATTTTCTTACCTTAAAGAAATCCTACCATTTGCAACAACATGGATGGAGCTAGAGGGTATAATGTTCAGTGAAATAAGCCAGGTGGAAAAAGACAAGTACCAAACGACTTCACTCGTTTGTGGAGTATAAGAACAAAACAAAACAGCAGCAGACTCACAGACAACAATAAGGGACCAGCAGTTACCAAAGGGAAGGGGTTGGGGAGGCTGGGTGGGTGGAGAGAGACAAGGGGACTAAGGGGCACTATAATTCACGAGTATAACATAACCAGGTCACGGGGGAGGCAGTACAGCACAGAGAAGACAAGTAATGACTCCATAACATCTTACTACACTGACAGTGACCACAATAGAGGGGGTAAGGACTTGATAATATGGGTGAATGTTGAAACTACAGTGTTGTTTATCTGACACCATCATAAGATTATATATCAATGATACTTTGATTAAAAGAAAGATATTTTCTTACCTTGTTTAGTAGTTTAGTAGTCAAGGACTAACCTCTGTTCTTCAAAAGAGAACTCTGCTGCATCATATGTTTCTTAAGTTATCCTACACGATTCTTTATACAATTACCTTCTCTATATTTGTTATAACTAGTGTATGTTGGCTATATAATGACTGGTAATTTTAAGCCCATTTCAATATGATAAAGATGAAGAATGCTTTATGGGCAAGTTTGATTCAATCAGCTGCAAAAGTAAAGACACTAGAATTTGAAAATTTACAGAGGTTTAATATCATTCAAAAAGAAAAATTACTGTCAAAATTACCATAATACATTATAAGGTACAGCAAGAAAAGCTTTCTATACATTAGATTGTTTTAATTAAATTTATTCTTAGGCTTTATCTTAAGTTTTGTATTATAGGACAGAATTTGGAAAATACGCTATTTACTGCCAGCGATGTGTAGAAAGAACACAACAAAATGGAGATCGAGAAGCAAAACCTTCAAGAATGGAAATTCTTTCAACCCTTCTACGAAACCCCTATCATCATTCTTTGCCCTTCAGTATCCCCGTGCACTTCATGAATGGGATATATCAGGTATATTAGACTTTCTGCCCTGATGAAAACATGCTTGCTTAACCTAGAAACCTCTGTGGAATAGGGAAGTTGGACTGTATACCTACATTTGTGAGCAGTTGGCAATAGTAAACATAAAAATATATTAGATCTATCAAAACAGCTGAGTTTTGAGGCACTTTTGCTAAAAAGAATTCACACTAACATCCAAATTAAACCAAGGGGTAATTTTATTGCCATAATAATTCTGATGGAGAAAAACAAAAATACTTTGGTTGAGGCCTTCCCCAACCAGTACACCTGCTAGGTGAGAAAATAATTACTAGTATTGAGTGTGTACAAGTTTAGTCTCTTTAAAGTCTCCAAATCTCAGGAATTATCTGGGAAAACTTCTCCAGGCCCTCCCAACTCTCAGATCTAGATGTTCACTTATTAACTGATGCAAACACGTTCCAAAGCTAATGATTACTCTTTGTAGCTAAGTCCTTTTATCATGGAATTCAGATATATAACTGAATACATTATTACAGAAACAAACATTAAATGCATGAAAGTATTCATTTGCTTAAGTGCAATTTTTTAAATTGAGGTATCATTGACATACAGTATTATACTAGTTTTAGGTGTGCAATATAGTGATTCGACATTTGTATACATTACAAAATGACCACTATGATAAGTCAATCACCACACAAACTTCTTACCATACTATTGAGTAGATCCTCTCTATGCTGTACTTTACATCCCATGACTGTTTAAGCACATTTTTTTGTTATTTTTTTCATTTACTGAAAAATTACATATTGTCCTTGTAGTACTTGGTTTGCCTTTAATGAATAGGCATAATATCTCTGCAAGATGTTTATAGCTGTCAAATGATCTTTCTATTTTGAATTCATGTCTTTAGGATGAAGCCAAAGTTTTTGAATTCTTATAGCAAGCTAACAATTAAAATGACATTAATTTTCTCCAGTAGGGCTTTGGGGGAAATGTTGAAGTAACTAGATAAATGTATGTTATCATTAATCATGGATCAAGTATGCCCTGCTTCTCCCCAAAATCCCCCCTGTAAGTTTGAAATGTACATACTTTTCTATTAAAAGAATGGCTCTGTTATTTCTGTTTAGGTGGTTGGATTTGATGCATCCACCACAGTGGAAGAATTCTTGAATACTTTGAACCAGGATACAGGAATGAGGAAGCCAGCACAGTCTGGATTTGCATTGTTCACAGATGATCCTTCTGGCAGGGATTTAGAGCACTGTCTTCAAGGAAACATTAAGGTAAAGCGAAGTCCTTTCAAGGAGACAGACCCAACAAACAGCAAAGAGGCACTCTTTGCTATTTGCAAAAGGTTTACTGCAGGAGTTTCAAAGTTTTTTAAGCAATCGAATACTCACAATAAAAAAATTTGCAAGATTGGGTTGAAGTCACAGAATTCTTAATATACAGTCTGTACACACACACACACACATACTCCATGTTAAAGAGAGGAAAAGGATTAGTAATGGTAATAATACCCTAAATATTAGGGTAGTGAGAGTGGAGGTGTGAAAGCTCTGATTAAAATGGCTTTCCGTTTTACTCATTTACTCAGCAGTATTTACTGAACTATTAATGCTATCCCAGGAGCTGGCCTGAACCCTATGGGGAATACAAAGAAGAACCAGAAATAGTCCCAGTTCACAGTGAATTTACACTTTGCTTAGGCAAGAGCAGCCTTATATACTGATAACCTTAAACTAGAGTTGAAATGATAGATGTTTTAAGAGTGCTGTGAGCATTCCACAGAGGGAAAGATTGAATTCAGCATTGGAAGTTAGGGAAGAACTAATTTTGAAGGATGGGTAGAGAATGGACCTGTGGAAATAAAGAAGAGATTTCATACATAAGGGAAGTCCTCAGCAAAGACAGAAAGTAGGTAGATTTAAAAAAAATATTTCTAGGTCATAATAAAATAACATTAATAAAGTTTCCATCTAGTAATGGCAACAATTAGAAACACAGAATGTAGAGCTATAAGGTATCTTAGAGAAATAGCCTGCTTCTTTTGCAAATGAGGAAACTGAGGCCCAGAGTGGAAAGTGATTTAACCTAAATCAAACAGCTAGAACTGGATCTGGACCCTCTCCTTACTTGATGTGGTCCTTGATTGCTCTTGGGACTGAGTGCCTTGGTACTGGGTGAAGGTGTTTCCGTGATTTGGAGATTTAAAAATTGGACAGAGTAGAAGACAGGTTCGTAATATCTACCACGAGTTTAGAGTACATGAAATATCAGTACTTTCATCTAACTTCCAAAGCCTAACCCCACTTGCAAGACAACCTGTTGGGGCCCCATGAGGTTCCTCAGAATACTGTTAAAGCTCACCTTCATAAAGAACACTGGTTTGTAGATACAGTTCTGCACCGTCCCCCCACCTGTTTCTTCAGCTGCATATTGAGAAATCTAGATAGATGAAAGCTTTTTTCTCCTCAATTCCAGGTATATCCTGTTCAGTTCAACAAAACCAGATGCAAATTTTTGAGACAGACATTCCTAGAGCACTGCTGTTAATAATTAGTCAAGAAGATAAGCTAGCATTAGAGGCTTTGGTGAATAACTGCTTACCACATATTTTTGAAAACTTCAATTTATAACTCTGCACATGACCAGTTAAAAAAACATACAAACACTTACTTGGTTCCTGAAGAATTTTTGTTCATTCCCAATCAAAGAATCTTAGGATTATAGAATCTTTGGTATAACTTCAGTCATTCCAACCTTTATAAATTCAGAAGGTGGAAACTTGCTTCTTCAGTGACTAAATCATGAAAAAATTCCTGGAATCTTCATGTTTCCAGCCTCATGCAGCCTTTCATTAAGATTCCTTTTTGAGTAAAGACCTCATGGCCACAGTCCAAAGTGAATGTGTGTCCAAAAAGATAAGTGGACCAAAGAGCAATTTATAGTTAAATCCAAAACCAGGGCTGCCCAGAAGCTCAAAACAAAAAGCCCCAGTCCATTGGGTTGGATCATATTAACTGAAATTTTTCAGTCTATACACATGCTTGTCTTCAAAAATGCTAATTTGGAACTATTCTGTTTTCCACTTCCCTTCTAGATTTGTGACATTATTTCCAAGTGGGAACAGGCTTCCAAAGAACAGCAACCTGGGAAATGGGAAGGTATGAGAACTGTTCGTCTGACATACAAAAACAGGTGTGTAAGGCCACATCCAAATGTCAAAGTATGGGGTTCAGTTGTGCTCAAATCATGCACCTGCAGTTGCCTATTGAATAACCTTGAAAGTTATGATCTTTATTTGATTGTTTGTTTTTCTATAAGTGATAACTCTACTTCTGCAGGAAGAAACTGCCACATGATATTCTGTTTCTAATCCTAGGCTCTTATGTCATGACTAATTATATTTTATAAAAATACGCATTTGGGCAAAGATTAGGAAAAAACTTTAAGAAAAACTAGCTGCTTTCAGGGTAGTCAATACAAGGGTGATTTTCTTCACTGTTAAAACTTCCTCTAACACTATTATTACATTTCTCATAAGGACCAAATACTCAAATACCCTACCACAGATCTGTAATAAGAAGAAATATTTGTGTTTACCCAAGTCTTTCAGAAGTGATGTATTCATATTCATCCATTCTCATTCTTTCCTTTTCTTTCTCTGTCCGTATTTATTGATCTTCAACTATAAGCCAGGAACTCAGCCAGATGCTCTGAATAAAATGATATAACAAAAACAAATAGACACCATCTTTGATCTTATGAAATTTATAGGCTGGTGAGGAAGACAGTTGTTGATCATACACCAACCCTAATGAATATATAATTACACATTAAATTCTCTGAAAGAAAAGAGTGTGGTTTTGTAAGACCAAAAAAAAGAAGCCTGACCTAGACTGTAGACTTAAGGAGGCTTCTTTGAGGAAATGAGGCTTAAGCCAAGGTCAGAAGGGGGCTGGGAGTGGGAGCATTGAAATGGGTAGAAAAGGACATTCAAAAGCCTATAGAGGGAGGCTGCCCAGGGTGTTTCAGGAAATGGGAAAAAGCCAGTGTGGCCAGAGCACATACCTTCTCAACAAATGTAATTTTAATATACTTAGGCATGTGGTTAAAAACCAGATTTTTTTTTTATATTTTAGTAAGTGTCTTCTTTTCTTCCATGTATTAGCAGAAAATGGTACTTAGTAAAAAGTGTTCCCTGACCAGGTCACATTAACTGTATAAAAAAAAAAGGTATTTTGCTGATTTTATTCGGGTCTTATACCCCATAAAATAAAGAATCTAAAATATCAGACTAAGAGCCTGGAGGAATTAGTGGTGTAGTATCAACTTGTTTCAGAGGCCTACTTTAGGAAGATGTTCATAGACCTACATTGGGATGTCAGAAGTAAAGGCACTACCTAACATAAAGAATGTATCATCCTTTGATCCAGTTCAGGATTTCTTTTTCTAATAATCTATCCCACAGAAATAACTGACATATATGGACAGAAGTATTACAGTAGGTTCCAGTATTGCCTTTGCCATTTTTTTAACAGTGAAAAAAAGCATTGAGGGGACTTCATGTTTATTAAAAGAGGAACAATTAAATGAATATGGTGCATTCATACTGTGGACTCTCCTCTTACACATCAGCCACTAAGGGCCACCCACTTTTGAGCACACTCTTTTGACCTGAATATATGGTGGTTGTGAGCCACTGGGGCTTCTCCGTGCAGGGAAGGGCTCATGAGCTGTGGCAGTTCCCGAGTTCTGAGTAAGAAAGGTGACTGTTAAGCTTTGGTATTTAAGGTTTTAAAATCATGCTTCCTTTTTACTACACTGATGGACAGTGACTGTAATGGGGTATGTGGTGGGGACTTGATAATAGGGGGAGTCTAGTAACCATAATGTTGCTCATGTAATTGTACATTAATGATACCAAAAAAAATAATCATGCTTCCTAAATAATGGAAATTTAATAGGCTCTACCTCTGGAGGAACCTGTTTCCACTGATGGCAGCCTTCATCTGTGGCCATTTAGTGACTGGCTAGAACAGCAGGCTAGAAGGGTTGTCCTTTCCACGTGATCATTTTAGCTCTGTGATCGCCAGAGCAGTGGTTCTCAAGATGTGGGCCCTGAACCCACAGCTTCAGTACCACATGGAAACACACTAGAAATGCAGATCATTAAGCCCCACTTCAGACCTACCAAGACAGAATCTCTGGAGCAAAGACCCAGGAGTCTGTGTCTGACAATTCTCCAGTGATTCTTCCACATGCTGAGCTGTGAGAAGTGCTGATCTGGGGGTCCTCATTGCTGCCCCTGCCTCTTCTCTTACCTTTTGTGGAAGGGAGCCAGCCTCTGGATCTGACCCACCAAATATCTTTATGTAGAAGAGGTTCTGGAATTCTCTTTTGCTTTTGTTGGAAATAAATAGAATTATTTTCATGTCCAGGACTATTCCTAGTATTGTGTAACTTATGAATGCTTAACACATACTAATTCTGACTCTGGTGGATATAGTTGGAACCAAAATTAAATTTGGATGAAATGGAGAAAAGTGGTCTGAAAGACACAGATAAGAATAATGCTCCAAGTCTAGCAAACACCACTAGAAAGGACAAAGAAAGTTGTGAATAATACATGAAGATTGCCTCATTTGTAAAAAAAAAAAAAATGGGCCACATAACAGTATCTTTGACATCAGAAAAAAGCAACTCAACCAAAAGGTTTAATTTTTAACAGAAGTCTAAAATGGCTGGATAGCCACAGGTATGAGAAAGCACTACGAGTTCTAAATGTGGTTGTGCTTTACATATGCGTATAAATAGCTTAGACAATGAGCCCTGATTTCCAGTGACACAGTGAGGAGGGGACCTGGCTGTGACCTATCCTGCAGCCAGGACTCACCTGTCAAACAGCACTTGAATAAGCAAAACTGAAATGCCAGCCCTCTTTATCATGAAATGTTTATGTATATTCAGTAAGTTAGGGAATTTCAGTTATTTAGATTCAGGAGTTAAATATCTAACTAACAGGTTTTGAACTTGTTCTTATAGATGACCATTTGGAAACTAATGTTTAAACTCTAATCATATTTAAGCTGCTTATCTGATTTGGTTTCTTACTGTGTATTTGAAACTGTAAAAGCCAAGGCATATTTTTAACAAAAGAAAACCGGCAAGGGTTCTTCCCCGAAGAGAACAACTGTCCTTCCCCCTTCTTTGAAATAAAAGGTTATTTTCAGTAGTCCTTTGTAATCATTATTTTCTGGAACATAGTTTAACGTTTCCATTTCTGCCACCTTTAGCACCTGTATCCATTGGCTCCTAAGCCAAGGAGCATTTTGACAGGTCATCTGGTTTATCCCATTCCTTCAGCTGTGTTCACAATTTCTAAAAACAATTTCCAGAATGAAGAGACTCTCATGGTTCTAAAAACACCTAGAGAAGACTCCTAATAATAATATTAATATTAGTAATCAATATTGATTGAGCACTTAGCGCACACCAGGCCCTGTGCAGAGTGCTTTATATGCATCATCTCATTAACACCCCTATGTGGTAGGTATTACTATTATCTGATAGGTGAGGAAACAAGCTTTTGAGAGTTAAGTCACTTAGCCAAGGCTACAAAGGGGATTTTTCAGGCTTTTGTGGCAAATAACTCCTGTATTTAGTGTTTCTCACTACCAATCATTTATCCGTTCATGCAGTGAATCTGTTCAGTGTCTGCCAGTGCCAGGCCTTGTTGAAGCCCTGGGGATTCAAATGTGAATAGAATTTCCCTACCCTTTAGAACTTAACAGTTTATAGGGAGAGACAGACATGAAATCTTAGCAATGTATTAATGCTGTAACAGGGACTAATAGAGCAGAGACGTGAAGAACATCATGGGCTCTGAAGAGAAAGGACCTGAGTTAGAATCCTGCATATCCCATTCTTTGTGGCCTTGAGTAAGTCACCCCCCCCCCCCCCCCGATCTCTGTGCCTCAGATACCCTCTGCATGAAATGGAAATGAAAGCAGCACCTACCTGTAGGGTTGTCTGAAGGACTCAGTGTCAGCAAATGTAAAGCACTTAGACCAGAGCCTGCCATGTAGTAAATGCCCCATCAGTACACATTGTGCCCATGCGTACAACATCTGTGTGTCCAAGATGTTGTGGAAACATAGAGGAAGGCTTTGCGGTCATGAGAACAGTCTTGGTGGAGTGTTACCATTGGACCATGGTGGACGGAGGAGCGCAGGGAAGGGAAGTGGGGCGGGAAGGCTGCCTGCTCCCTCAGTAAGCTCGCAGGAGAGTTGATGTAGGGATAAGTGCATTGAAGAATGAAATACAGAGCCAATTGGAGGCGAACAAAAGGATTAGCCAGGAGTGTTCTGCTGCATTTGGAAGCAGTGTTTGTGTGGTGGTACTGGTTCACACAGTGAGGAGATTTCCATCCCAAAGTATCCCGCTTCCTGAGTGTCATGTGAGGAGGCGGACCTGTGGGAATACCCGTGCTATCTAACCCATGCCCTGCCTGCCTGACGGAGCCCGCTCTGCTTCATGTGTCTTTAGGGCTGGGGAGGAGCCAGAAGCTGGTCACTTTGGGAGAGACTCAGAGCATGTTTCCCTGGTTCCTTTCCCATTGAAGATCCATGGATTTGGTTTTCTGACTTTCTGATCATTTTTGTGACTCTTTATTTCCTCTCCACATTGTCTCCGAATCTCTGTGTAGTTACTTGAACCCAAACTTCCATTAGGGGCTAGAGCCAACAATTCTACGTATTGCAGTCCTATAAACGTGTCCAGGATTGTTTTTCCCTTTTCTGCTTATAGTGCTTCATTTTCCCTTCCCAGGTTTTATCTTCTTTGCATGCCAGAAATAACAGAAAATGTAGCTCTTCTTGTCTGCAGCCATTTGCACATTTGGTTCTTTTTCCCCTCCTAGCTGTATTATTAATTCAAGCTTTTATAAAAATCTTCCAATGGTAACACTTAGCTAAACCCCGAGTATATTACAGTAATGAGTGACATAGGTCTTAATGTCAAGTGGAGAAAATAAGCTAGGCCAATAAGGGATAGCTTTCATCTTAAACTTTATTCTCTTTGTTTTATATCATTTTGCTGATATGTCAGTATAAACAAATTATATCAGTTTGTTATCATGAAGTTACAGATAAAAATGAGGCTTAGGATTTGTTTTTCCAGGAAACCGCTCAGAGTGACTAAGATTCTTAATCACAGGCCAGTGATTCTTAAACTGTGATGGGTGGGAAGAATAATCAGAATCAAGGTGAGGGATAGCTTTTCAAAGTACAGGCACCATGCTTGCCCTGAGATTCAGACCTGCTATCTCCCATCCTGCTGTTTGAGGTAATTACTGTGAGAGATACTGTACCTGATGGCAGTGTGACCTCCCCTCAAGTATATTGCAAGGAAAAGGCTAAAACTCCAGTTTTGCCACTTGGGCACACACCTAACAAATGCTGGATCTAAATCTCTCTCTTCTTGCCACTGTGTTGCCATGATAATATTAAAGTATGTCCAGGTGTCACTTACCCACCGCACTGTCCCAGCATTTACAGCACCCCGGCTGGTCTGCAGCCTGACGTCAGAGCCCCAGAGGTCTCACCTATAAAGAAACAACGGAGTGAAAAAATAAAGAGGGTTGCTGAATTGATGAAGGCCTCCTGGGCAAACTAAAGCCACCTCATATTTCAACAAGTAATAATAGTAATAATAACATGTAAACTACTTTGAGCTCCTAAAGCCACTTACCTGAATGTGTCAAAAAATTGACCCCCCTCACATTTGAATTGAAACCTTCAGTTACTTTTCTGTGGTGTGTCCACAGTATTCAGGGAAAATCATGAGCGTTTTGAAAATTGCGTTTATACAGCCACTGAAATGAAGGTTACATCAGCATTCTTTATGAAAGGGTGCATTAATTTCTCTCAGTGTCTTAGGTCCTGCCTCAGTCGCACTTAAGGATTTGATATTTAAGGACTTTTTAAAAAATAACGTAGAAGTATTCCTCAGCCTCAACCTTAAAACAGTTTGTCCTTTGCTGAAAATGTTAGGGGTCACTGGCAGATAGTAATGGTCTAAGTTTGTACCACTTAGAGAACCATTAGAACAACCCCATATCACTCCTCTTGTTTTATCTTTACAAGAAAATCATGTAATGAAAAATGTCCCCTTTTTTTACAGACTGTATTTCTCAATGCAAGCTCGTGGTGAAACTGACAGAGAAAAGTTACTGCTAATGTATCAGACAAACGATCAAATAATAAATGGACTTTTTCCCCTAAACAAGGACCTGGCATTAGAAATGGCAGCTCTTTTAGCTCAGGTAACTTCCATGTTATATAGAGTGAGATTTTGTAAAGATAAGATACTAATTTCTACACTGAATTAAATGTAGCAAAATGATATGCCTTTATTATTCTTTAAATTCTTTTGTTATGATTAACACCTGAAAAATTGCAGGCATTATAATTACAGTCTGATTCCAAATTGCTGACAATTGCAGTGATGTAGAATGAGACAGTATTCCATAAAGGGAACCTGGTTTCTTAATTACCTTCAAAGTCTGTCACTAGGCTTTGCATTTAATAAGGGAGTTTGAGTGTAAAACTATGGGGCTAAGGATGCCATGCTGAAATTGTTCAGTAACCTAAAAGGAATCAATCTTTTAAAAGGCCAGAGCACTTTCTTTTCTTTACCTATCATGTCAATTAGAATTAAGTTTAGACTTTCATATGCACGTGAAAATTAATAGTGACTTCACCAAAATAGAAGTATATCTGTCTCTCACACAGATTAATAGGCATGCTGGCGCCATTACCAAGTCCTTAGAGGCATGGGCTTGCTTTCACTCCATTCTGCCATCCCTGAGAAGTTTTCTTCATAATCTTGGAGATCTGCCAATGTTCCAGCTCTTACATCAGTGCCCCAGGCAGCAGGATGGAGGAAGGGCTGAAGATGGGCACATCTCCAGAAGTTATATAGAACACTTCCATTATGTCTCCCTCATCCACATTAGTGATTCGGCCTTGCTTACCCACAAGGGAGACTGACAAATGTGGTCTCAGCCTGGCAGAAAGGAGCTCAGCTGAATGCAAGGTTTTAATTACTCAGAAAGAAGGAGAGAATGTTCATAAGAGGCAACTCACCATCTGCATCACACCTGAGTCCTTGCACAGGTTAGTTAAGGAAAAATGTTAAGGCAACTCTATGCTAGGCTGTTGGGACAAAGGCTTTGATTCCCCAGGATTTGCAGCCTTCCCAGTCTGTCCACCATCCTGTGACATCTTCTAGTTTATCTACTTCCTTTGCCAGTGATTCCCAGGTCTTTTCTCTCCAGTTCATAGTTCTCTCCTGAGCTCCTTAAGGTCAGCATGTCAAGAACTGAACTAATTGTCTTCTCTCCATTTCCTCCACCCTCAGTCTTCTCTGCAGTACTGCCTTTGCCCCATACCCCAGCTTTAAATCCTGTAATCATCACTGTCCCCACCCTCCTTTTCACCTGGTCCCACCAGCAACCATGCCCTGCCCATTGTAACTCACAGATATGTTTTACTCTGTTCACTCCGCTGCATTCTGAATGCCATTGCTGTGGTTCAGACCATCTTTACATCCAATCTGTTCTCCATATCCTGCCTGTTCTTTAGCAGCAGGCTTCTAATTAATGTGCCCTTCTCTGGTCTGATCCCCTGCAAATGTACCCTCCACCCTGCTGCTGGGGAGATTGTTGCAGTTATCTATTGCTGCATAACAAACGACTCCAAAACTCAGTCACTCAAAATAATAATTTGGGCAGGGATGTGTAAAGACAGCTTTTCTCTACTTCATATGGCATCAGCTGGCATAGCTTGAAGGCTGGTTGTGACTGTACGACTGAGGCTGGAATCATTTGAGGCTCGTTCACTCCACATTTAGTGCTGACACAGGCTGTTAGTTGGGACCTCAGCTGGGACTGTCAGCCAGAACACCTGCACACGGCCTCCTCATGTGGCTGCTTGTGCTTCCTTGCAGAATGGTGGTCAGGTGGTAAAAGCAACATCCCAAAGGGAAGGCAAGAAGTGATAGCTTCATTTAATATATTTAGTGTAACATTTTCATAAGGCATGGGCCTAGAAACCGCCATGGTGGTTTGTTAAACAGCACTAGTAGCTGGGAGGGAAATAAAGCAAAAATGTGAATCTAGCCTGTATGGTCTTACCTCTTCACTCCTTCCTGAAATTCATGTAAAAAAGTTAGAAGTATATATATCTCCAAAGAATATGATAACTTTTCTTGGAGAAACTTTCTTGACAAATTAGAAGTTAAAATAAGAGGACAATCTTAAATTTTAGTAATAATGAGAACAATTGTCATATGAGAGCAAAATGAGAGCAAAATGTCATTCCCTTATTACATAGAAGGATGTTTATGATCCCAACTTTGTCTGCCTCTCTATCCTTGTCTCTTAATATTCTCTGCCTTGAACTTTATGCTCCATTAAAGCATAAACTCTGGTTCCCTGCCCAATTCCCTGACTTGCACATGGTTCACTTTTTCTTATCTCTTATGCTTTACTCATTTGTCTCCTCTGCCTGGAACATCTCTAGCCCCATGCCTTCACCATTTAATGGCAGTTTCCCCTTTAATTTTCATCTTACATGTCACTTATTCCAGGGAACCTTCCTGAATTCTGCCTGGGGGGTTAAATCCCTCTTGGGGTTGGTGTAATGTCCTGCAACATATCTATTACTGTACTGACCTCAGTGCTTTATTATTATTTCTTTGTTTCTGCTTTGCACCACTAACAGTGGCCTCCCTGAGGGAAAAGGCTGTTCCTGTCATCCTTGTGTCTAGCACAGTGCCTTACACATAGTCCATTCTCCAGGAATGTTCTTGGATGAATGAATAGTTGATAATTTAGTTTACTTTTATAATAATTTTATGATCATCCACACCTTAAAGCATTATGCTACACTGAATATTCTCTTTTTGCAAGTGGTGAAAGGCTGAGGAAAAGAGAAATAGATCATGTATTTTCTTGTTCATAGGATTAGGAATGATTTCCTATCACTTGCCGTTCTAAGTTTTAGTCCTCTAAAGGCACAGATTCTCTGTTAAAATTGCTCTCATTATTACTAAAATTTAAGTTTGTTTTCTTATTTTAACTTTTAATTTGTCAAGAAAGTTTCTCCAAGAAAAGTTGCAATATTCTTTGGAGATATATATGCTTCTAACTTTTTTACATGAATTTCAAGAAGGACTAAAGAGGTAAGACCATATACCTAGAAAATTCTGAGCACATTATTAACTAAAAAGTATAATTTCCCCAGCTATAAAATAAAAATTAAATCTCTCTGATCTCTTTTCATTAGAGTAGTTTTTGTGAAGATAAATGAGCTATGCTAAAGAAATCTGAGATTTATAGAAGAAAAGAGTTATTTCTGTTGTAGATTTGAGTATCTGTAGGTCCTTGTCAATATTCTCTGTTTTAGAAAATTCTTGGAGCTGATTGTTGATTGATGTACTTAGTGTCTGGAAAGGTGTCATGTTGGTGTGAGGCATGTTGGGAATTATTTGAGTTGATTTTCAGGTACTCTTCGGACATTTATCATGCTCATTCTGTGCCACACAATATGCCAGGTGCCGGAAAGGGGAGACACTGAATTTGGAGATATCACTATGGAGTTCCCTAAGAGGCAAGGTTGCCTTAAATGACCTATTTTTGTAACTATTGTTTGTCCAACTGCCACATCCTTGGAGGTTAAATCCTGGTATCAGGTTTTACAGGTAGCTGTGCTGAGTACTACCTTGTGCTAGGTGGGGGCAGTAAAAAGCTTACTCTGGGGGAAGGGTTTCCATATGTTTGAAGAGCAGATGGGCAACTGGTATTTGGTGTGCTGAAATTAGGAAGGATACCTGATTAGATAGGACATAGGACATGGGAATGAGAGCTGAACAGCCATACCAAGAAACTAAGAAACTGGTAAAGAACCCGGAAAGTTATAAGAATAGACTGTAAGAGTGACATTCAACTGAGGAATTCAGACAGTAACTGGCCAGATTAAGAGCTAGAAAAGAGAAGCCAAAGGGGTCAGAATCACAGAGGCTGGTTATGCTAACAGTTTACCTGGAGGCAGAGGAGCCTTTTGAGATGGAGACCCAGGACTTAGATACCCAGAAAAAACTGACCCCCTTAACATTTGATGTTGATTTTGAATTGAAACCTTCAGTTACTTTTCTGTGGTGTGTCCATGGTATTCAGGGAAAAATCGTGAGCATTATGAAAATTGCATTTATACAGCCCATTGAAATGAAGGTTTACATCAGCACTCCTTATGAAAGGGCATAATTAATTTCTATAAAGCCATCCTAGTCTTGATGGAATGTTCCACCTCCTTGTGGGGGAGTGCTATAGGTAAGGATGTGAATGTTCACTAGGACAGTCATCTGAATGTCCCACCTCATCTCCCTCCTTGAGCCCTCTCTGGTACCCTGTACAAGGGACATAACACAGTTCATTGCAAGTATTTGTTTATACTTCAGTCTCCCACACAAGACAGGAAACTCTTTGAGGGCAGGACCCATGTTCAACTTTTTTCTTTCTCACATCACTTAATTCAGTGCCTGCATATAATGAGGACTCAGTATAGGTTTGCCTGAGTGGATGGGAGGTGAGTGGATAGAGAGAGAGATGTGTGGGTGGTTGGATGGGTGAGCAGAGGATGGCATCTGTGTGGCCTCTCGATAAAGACTGAACACTCCTTTATTCAGGGAGAAAGGGGAATGAAGGACTGACTCTGTTTTCAGAATAAGAGAAGGAGGGAATGAATACAGTAACATCAGTGGAGAAAAATCTAGGAAGACAGTAATGAGAATTAATAATTCTTGCTCCCATTGTATTCAGTAGAGACCCTTGAAAAGTCCAAGTAATACTTTTTTGAAAGTTCTCATACCTTTATAACTTTATCTTTTAACTTCCATTTTGCATTATTATTAGGAAATAAAATAGTATGTTAATTTAAAAAATTATCTTGGGCTGTTATAGATAATAGTAGAGTAGTGTCCCTTAGGAAATACTACTAGATGGTGACGTTAACCTAGGGTGGTTTACAAAATTAGATTTCAAATAGACTTTAGATTTTAATAATAGTGCTTATGTTTAATTGCAAATTCCATAATCACACAATCATGACAAATAGATTTAAATATGATATGTAATGAAGAACATTTAGAAAGATAAGACTGATTTTCTTTTTTGAAATTCCTTTCAATATCCTCCTA